AATTAATTCGATTTTTCTTTTTTTTATAATATTTGTAACCTTTCAATCTATAATAGTGTTGTGCGAAACATACTTGTCAACGATAGACAGTTGGTCGGTAGGCATAACCATTTTTGTAATTTAACGAAAGAAATAATTGTTTAAAAAAATCGTAATGCAATAAAACACGTTCCATAAATATATAACATCAGGGTAGTGGCAGATTTATTGTCGTCTCAATGTTGTAGGAATAAGAATTCGCTTGCAATCCATACAAAATACAATGTAAGTATATCCTTGTAAATAACGAATTATTAATTAATCGTATCAATCTACAGTTAAAAATAAATTATGGACGTTTTGAATTAGTTTTGTTTTTTCTTCGTTGTAATAATAAGGACAAGTCTTAATGTGTAGGTTTTTATACTACAAAAGTAATTATTTGTTGAATATGATATTTGATATGTATATCAAAAATAACAGGCAAATAGAATCAAACCAAAATATAATAAATAAATAAATAATAATTTCTATTACATATAACCCTGAACATTTCACTCTAAGATTTGATATCAGGGGGAATAATTACCTTCAAAGGGTAGAGGACATAACTGTGTTACTGCCCGTTCATACTCGCCATGACCAGAACGCACGGTCGTTGATCGTATTATTTTATCAGGCCCCATACGCACCTGGATCACTCTTCCTAAGCGCCATTTAAGTGGAGATAAATTTTCTTCTCGCAAGAGAACTACTGTGCCAGGCATTAATTTAGAACCCCTTTCACTTGCCCATTTTACCTTATCTTGTAAATGCGTCAAATATTCATGACTCCAATGCTTCCACAAGTCCTGAGACAGTTTTTGTACGCGCTACCACCTATCGAAGTGACTGAGAGGAATCGCCTCGTAACATTTCTCTGGAACAGCTATTAATGAGTCACCAATAAGAANATTTCTCTGGAACAGCTATTAATGAGTCACCAATAAGGAAGTGAGCAGGAGTTAAACAATCTAGGTCTAAAGGATCAGTGGTTAAAGGTGTTAAAGAACGGGAGTTTAAACAAGCCTCAGCACGCGTTAATATAGTAGAGAATTCCTCTATTGTTAAACACAAATCTTTTAATACTTTATTTAATAAATATTTCATCAATTTAATGGCACTCTCCAATATTTAAATCAGTATACAAAAATCAATTACAATTAGCTATTTGTAAATTTTTAACTACCTTTTACGCCAATCGCGCAAGTAAAAGTTCCGCACATAATTCGAGGCGTGGGAAAGACACTGTTTTTATAGGAGCTACCTTTGACTTCTCGCAAATAAGATAGACAATATGTTGACCGTGTTCATTAGTGGTGCGTAAATATAACGCCACTCCATATGCACGAATGGAACTATCTGAAAAACCATGTACCTGATACTCGACAATTTTTTGTTCGCCAATGATTTTAGGCGGAATAATAATTTTATTAATAGAACTAAGTTTTTTCGCATACGCTTCCCGATAATTTTTTATATTTACAGGAACGAGTTCGTCCCACTCTAATTGTTGTTGCCATTAAAATTTTGCATTAGAAGTTTGCCCTGTACTATTATCGGACCAAGTAGACCAAGCGGATCATAAATTGAGGCAATATGCGATAAAATTGAACGTTTCGTTATTGACCCAGATATAGAAATATTTTTAACAATATATTGTAAAGTATCAAAATACGCATTCCATACAAGCCCTAGTACCTTTGTTATCGGGCCGTCGTTATTAGGAATTATATATGACTATTATTGTTGTTTGAATGTAGTCCGCTGATTAAATTAGGCTCATTCGACGACCACTTCCGTAATTCAAAACCAGCTTTGTTTAACACCGTGTGACGTTCACCGCTAACTAACCGTGAGGTTATCACCGATGAAGCACATAAACCCAAACGAAGTTGGATTCACCACTAGCCGAGGCTCTACCAGACCGGAGCATAGTGGAATTTTAAATATAACTGACACATTTGTTGTTTTAATTTACTAAGTTTTTACCTTAACTCTAGGGGAAAAGGAATTAAAAACTGGTAGACGAGTAGTATAGGCGATGATGTTCTATTTTATATACTGAGTTTAACTAAAATAATAATGCCCAAAGTACAATAAAATAATTGTCAGTTACAAATGTTCAACATACAATAAAATTACAAATTCTTTTATATAACATATTTCAAGTCATAGTTAAAATTATTACAAATTATTAAATGAGCTAAAGGACAAATAAAATAAAAGGGACATGAGGGAAAAAATAATCTCTGACACTGCTGTATTGACTATGTTCGATTTGACCAAGGGACAGGATCGTACTTTCCAATAT